AGGTGTCTGGAGTTTTTGTTGTTTTAATTTCATTTATTCATTAACGACATGAATGAAATCGCAACGCTATACTTACAGAGCACTACAGAGCATTAACCACAACGCTATACTTACAGAGCACTACAGAGCATTAACCACAACGCTACTAATATTTATGGCTATGTAAGGTGGTAACAACACGTATCATTGTTACATACATATATTTTCCTAACTCTTGCTCCGTGACACTGACCACTCAGCTCCTGGCGACACTCTGCCACCGACAGCGGCCGGGATTTTAATGAAAATATTTGAGCGAGTTTTAAAAGTTTTCACCGCGGCTTTGATCACATCCACCCACCACTGTAATAATAAATAATAATAAATAAATTTTGATGAAACAATATTCTATTATCTTATAAATGGGGAAACATTTTTAAGAAAGAGTTAAAGTGAAAATTTTGAAATGGTTGACTGGAAATCTTACAGTGAGTTGAGTACCTTATATATAGGGGTCCCTGCGGCGAGCTAGAGGTACTTATATATTTCAGTATTATTGTGATGTTGTGATGCTGTGTACATAAGCTGTGGGCGGCTCTAAGTTGGAGTCTTTTTATCTTTTGTTTTATGTTTGAGGGAAGATAAATGAAGAGTTTTGTGAATGAGTCGATGTTCTTTTGTTTGTTTGTTTGTGTGTGTGTGTGTGTGTGTGTGTGTGTGTGTGTGTGTGTGTGTGTGTGTGTTTGTGTGTGTGTGTGTGTGTTTTATACACGGTGGTGGATTAGGAAATGTTAACACGCACATATAATATAAATAGAGATTATTATAAACGCACACACACACACACACACGCACACATGTAATAATAGCCATGAACGTATGTGAGGGAGAGGAGTTCATGGCAGGTTTCTGAGCTATAATTTATACTTCTTTAGAGTCTGCGAGTTCTTGGCGAGGGTGGCGTGGTGGGAGGGCGTGGTGGTGTGGTGTGGTGAGGCGAGGGCATGGTGAGGTGGCGTGGTGAGGCAGGCGTGGTGGGAGGGCGTGACAGAGTGTTAGTGTGTGGCAGTGTGTGGTAGGATGTGGTATAGTGTGTGTGGTAGGGTGTGGTAGGGTGTGGTAAGGGAAGGTAGTGTGTGTGGTAGGGTGTGGTAGGGTGTGGTAAGGTGTAGTAGGATGTGGTATAGTGTGTGTGGTAAGGTGAGGTAGGGTGTGGTAGGGTGTGGTAAGGGAAGGTAGTGTGTGTGGTAGGGTGATGGTATATAAAACCGTATAGTGTGGGCGTGAGGGCGTGTTTACTTCTCTCGCTTCCAAGATAAATATCACATCAATTTCCTCGCCTTCTATATCTCGCCCAGCACACTATACACCCCCTGTCACACCCACCCTGCCAGGTCTCCCCTGCCACATCTCCCCCCTGACAAATGTCTTTTTTTTCACTTCCCCTGCCAAGGTCTGCTCATCTGCCAGGTTTTTCCCTGCCAAGGCCCCATTCTTTGCCAATCTCCCCCTGCTTAACTAGACTAGACTTCCCTCCCCTACCTCCTTTACCCCCTGCCAAACCTTCCCAAACCCCCATTATCTTCTTCCCCTGGCAATACCCTCCCCTACCCCCTCCCCTGCCAGCTGCCTGGTAACGAGGGCGGAACCGTAAACAGATGAAGGTGTGAATGCGTCTCTTAGGTCTTGTTTACATTGTAAGATCAGCATTGACTCTTCCCTCGATCACTGCCACAGGTCGGGAGTGTGTTTACGGGGAGAGCTGAAGGGTCACTGAACGGGGATAAGGATGAAGAGAGGTTGTGTAAGGATGGGGATGGAGGATAGGAGAATGAGGAGAGTCGTAGGAGGATTTGAAGAGTGTTACGGTATGGGTTATGCAGTGGAGAATTAAATGGATGTGGATAGGAGGTAGAGGGTGGTGTGGTTAGGTGTGCGGGTGTTGTGGTAAGCTCTGGCGTTAACGTGTCCACATCTGGTGTAAATAACCGCGTCATCTGCTACTCAGTATTGACGGGATAATTTTTACGCTTATTATATTTTGGGGTTGTGTTCCTTCCTACCTGGTTAACACACACACAGGCCAGTAACCACAAACCTTCTCGTTTCCACCTATACAGCGGTGCACATCATTACCTGTGTACCTCGTAAAACACACACACACACACACTCACACACACACACACACACACAAACACACACACACACACACACACACACACACACACCAAATCTCTGTCGTATCCTGGCCCTTCCTACCCGCCCCTGATAACAAGTCATTTATATCACCGGAAATAGTATTAAGTTAACTCTCTCGGTGTCTCGTACACGTGTCTTCACCAATCATTTATGTCGAGTCTCGTGTGATGTTTGGGTACTATGACTAAAAGGTTTATTGTATTGTCCTTAATGGTGTCTCCTGTACAGTAGTAGTAGTAGTAGTAGTAGTAGTAGTAGTAGTAGTAGTGTTGTTATTATTATTATTATTATTGAGAGATACAAAAAAGTTAACTCCTAAAAA